ACGGACTTCTAAAACACCAAGTCTCGCTAAATGTAGGACACATCACGCAGTGTGTTGTGCGCCTCCGGCATCGGAGCAGCTATGCCCTCCCTCTCCCCTTTTTTTTTCTCCCCCCACACCTCCCACCACCGATATGTGCCACAAGTCAGTGCCGGCAATTCTCCGTTAACTCCACTACCTGGTTTGTGTATTATACTCACTCTTTACTCTTTACCACTCACCTTCTCACACAAGAGCATCGGATAGGCCCTCAGTCTAACGGAATAAAAAATCATCTGTGCGTGAATATTCATGAGGATGTACATCCCCGAGGGACAAATAAAATGGAAAACTGTTGAGTGAGTGCAAGAGAGCGAGAGGGGGGGGGGATAAATAATATAAAAAAACACTCGGCGAGGGAGTTGCATACGTTTTAGAGCTGTGTGGAGAGATAGAGAGGTATAAACACGTACGAGGAACGTGTACACTGTCGGGGTTCGAGGAAGAACGAACAGGGCGGCTGGGAGGGATGGGCGAGGGGGTAGAAGAGGGAGAGGGAGGCGAGGCTGGGCGACACGACGCGACGCGTTGATCGTTCCAAGCACATCCTGGCACTCCCCCCAGTTTTTCGTGTTGAGGGGTGGGGTGACAAGAGGGAGAGATATCCGAGAGGCCGTTTCAACGTGTCGAGGAGTCGAGATGGTGCTTATATCACTGGGATTCTCAATTTTTTTTTTTCTCGTCGACTTTCTTTTGCAGTTTTTTCTTGGTGTTTAGAGGAAATTTATGGAAATTAAGGGGGAGGTCAGAATTTTGGCATTGCATTGGTGATGATAAGTGTTTACTGGAGCATTCTACCATTTAACTACCGATGAATAATGTTGATAAGGGAGAATGGAGTACAATGATCCTTCTTTGGTTGTCTGTAATTCGAGAACGGCAGAGTCGATTTGTTGAAATTTCTCATTTTGGAGATATTTTTTTAAACTTTGAAATGAGACTCAGCCCATGCAAATCGCATCATTTGGTCTCGAGATACAGACAATTCAGTAGCCAAATGATAAAACGGTTCAAGTCAATTTCGAAAAGTGAACAGTTTTCAATGAACATCTTGAAATCTAAGGCAGACAGTGGAATATTTTTATAACATTTTTTGTACAGCGAATTAAGATCTACAAAAAAGGTCTTGACAAAAATTTTGCCATCTCTCTTAGATTCGGCGATATTTCTCGAAAATTCAGCGAATATCGAGTCATTTTATCGCTTCACTGCTGAATTAAAGACCATGGAAAAAAAACCATCCAGCAACCGTTGAGAATTATTTTAGAAGGGATTAGTCAAGTATTCTACACTCCCTATCGCGAGGCAATCGACTTGGCTTCCATGAGCTCCGACCTCGATACTCAGAAATTCGGTCGCCGGATGAAGCAACCCCTGTTTACCCACGTCCTCCACTGAAATTCCCAATTTCCAAGGCACTAACGCAAGAGTCGCATTCCAAGGGTGTGAACAAAAAAAAAACCCCATCTCCTCAGACCGCTCTACCCTCACGCAGAGCGTTGAGACTCGCCTCCTGCCTCTCAATCCCCAACCAGTCGGATGAATCATCACCCCTCAACCCAAATAAAATGAGAAAAAAAATATATCCCTGAATAAGTCTCGCCGGTTACAATACCCAGCGACAAAACTACTCTCAACATGGCGGGCATCACCCAACTCTCTAGCCTCCACACCCAGGCGCATGCGCAACTCCCTCGTTACTTTTATCGCTCCCTCTGAGCTTCACGTCGCGGCATCAAATCACTCACAATTCCAAAACACGTTGCCCCAGATGACCATTGCCACTCCAAAAACTCCTTTTTCCCTCGTTTCACAATTGATGAAAAAAAAAAAACCAACAGCCTCTTGCACAATGTTTATTTATTTGCCCTGTTCCGTAACCGGGTGTATCATCGTGCACGCACAAGTGTACGTGACGCCATGAATGCCATGAATTCAATCTTTTTTTTTTTCTTTTATTTTTCTTCATGGAGATGCGTGGATGACAGTAAGAAATATCCTCAGGCGATGTCTAGGCATTCACTCGGGGCGGTGGTGCGGAAGCGGGAGTCGAAGGTGAAGCCACCAATGGAGTTGAAAAAAAAATAATGAGAAGGGGTATGCGTTGTTTCTCACTTTGAAAACGCACCGGTACATTATCTCGCACTTTGTCCCACTGTTGGTATCCCCCTCCCCCCCACCCCGCGATTCGTGAACTATCTCTGTCTCACAAACCTAGTGGGCAATAACGATTACGCAATGCGTGGCCGTGAGAGAGGCTCCTCGTGCCACTCTGTTACTTCAATCCACTGGTTTTCTACACTTCTCTCTCTCTCTCTCGCTGACTCTTTATGGATGTTAAGTCACTCAGTATGCCCCGTTCCAATATGTGTTTGTCTTCTTCACCTCTCGCATAACTCACGCCGAGTTAACATGCAGAGGGAATTTGTGTGTATGTGGCTGGGGGCTCTGCCCACGCGAGGGTGTGGGTGAGGGACTTGTTTTGTTGAGGGAGTCAACGCTCAATGACACGTACCGATGGAAAAACCATTGGATTGGATAACAATATTCCTTTAAAGTGGGCTTTCATATCGGGCGAGGTTTCTCAGAGGGGCCGGGGAGGTAATTCGGTGGGGAACAGGGAAGTTGGAAGTTTATAGAGATTTTATGAAATGTGGGAAGGGATTTATCAACTCAGTGAAGCGGTGAAAGAATTCAAGTCGACTTGGATCTTGGCTGAGTTTTTGTGAAATACATCTCCGAATCTAGGGGAGATGGTGGGATTTTTGTGAGGACTTTTCTTGTGGAGCGAAATGAGAGCTGCAAAAAGGTCATGACAAAAATTTCCCTAGCGTCTAAATGACAACGGGAAAACACAGAGTTATCCCGATTTGACAAAATGGGGGAAAGAAATTCATTCAACATTATGAACTGTATTTTGGGGGCACCTGTTGAGTTTTGGTTTATATACCGTTACAGAGACTCCCATAATACCGTTTTACCTTTTACCACCAGGGGAATACTCCAGAACAAGTGTTGGTAATCTTGTCGAAAAACCGGCGGCGTCCCGGTTAAATTAATACCCCCTCGGTGTATCAAAAACGTATCGATTCTTCAGGGAATGAGAAGTACCGTTTTCACTTGAACATAACGAAACCTCAACATGATGAAATGAGTTTTAATTCTCTTTTCTCACCTCGCTCGACGTCGACAAACACGAATGCTGGCTTTTTATCTCGCTAGTCTGTCTCACTCCGGGGCGTTGTGGTGACGTTGGTGGGGAAGTACGAGAACAACAAGCAAGGGTTCTCCGGAAAAAAAATTGTGCGCAATTTCGTGGCAGAAGGCGACAAAATACACTGCGCATTTTCTAAACCATTTTTTATTTCCATTAAGAGTTTATTAGTGTTTACACTGTAGCTACAAAACTACAACATAAATTTTCGCATCAATAAAACGTGGCACAACGTTATTCATAAATTCATAAATAATAATTGATACTTTTATTACTCGCAAGAGAAAAATCACAAGAAAATAAAAACTAGTTTTGTGGATTCATCTATTGACTATTTTTATTTTCGACTGACTGATGATGAAAGTAATGAATTTCATTTGAGAGTCAGAGTCCATAAAATGTTTAAAACCCCCTCGCAGATAAAACTGCATTCGACAATTTATTGAATAAAAAATTGTGCGCATTTGTTTCCAATCATTCCCACCATAAATTTTCCCATCAATGAAACATGGCAAAACGTCATTCAACAATTCATAAATAATACTTGATACCTTTATTACTCATAAGAGAAAAATTACAAGAAAAAAAATTAAATTTTCCATCAACTGTCGAAACTAATCATTTTCATTTGAGAGAGAGTGAGAGTCCATAAAATCCTAAAACCCCTCCCTGATATGACCATTGAAATTCGACATTGACTGTGAAATAGCTCATTGCGTAATGATAATGAAAGAAACCGATTGAAATGAAAAAGAGGAGCGAGAGAAATACATATAGGAAGGATATAACTTATTATTGATATCCAGTTAGACCGAGCAAGACGGAGAAGCAAAACCCGGTGGTGTTGAGGCCTTGCTAACCGTGAAACTGATCGTGCTTCCTCCCGTGGGTTAACGAGGTCGTTCAAGGTCGAGGCTCGGCGCACCTCGAGAGTCCATGCCATACATATATGTATGGATACCACCAGTGAGATTCATCTCGCCGATACAAAATACTCAAGGGGGTGGGGGGAGGGAGATATATTGTGAATCCAACTATTCACCAGTGGCACAGGATAATGTAAACACGCCGAGAGGATAAACAATAACTACCGAGTGAAATCCGGTGATTTTTCTAATTTTCTCTAATTTACAATTGATCAATTTGCCTACAAAAAATTAATCAACTTTGAAGCACCATTTCAGTCAGTCATTTCACTCATAAAAATGGAAGAATATTTGCAATAACTCGTGAAAAATTGACCACACAGATGGATTTCATCAATTGCCCATGTTTAATTCAGGAATTTTCCTCTACTATATTTATTTTCAAGCTGAAATGTGAAAAATATTCTGATCGATAGTGTCGGCTGTCGGGTGGGTATCTCATCTGTAGTCAGAGGCGTTCGATAGTCGCGACTTGGTACGCACGTAGGAGCCATTATGATGGCAGATCCCAGTGAAACGAGAGGGCGAGGTAGCGTAAAAGGAAAGAATCGCCTTCTATTCAGCCTACACCTTGGTATCAGGGTCGTACACCCACACGTATTTTCCACCATATATTCATTATTTTTTTCCTCCCGGTAACTGAGGCGGTTATTTTTTATCTACCCGAAGAGCATAACCGAGCGAATTTATTAAAAAATGGAAAAAAATAAAAGTCATGAAGAATTTATGCATTTTCCTTTGGTGGCGTCTCTGCAAAGGATCATTTGTCTTTGCCATGAGGTATAACTAACGATGACATTGTTGTTGCCCGCTGTTGACAGGTCACTCGGTAGAATAACGTGATAGCCCTGGCCGATGAAGATACTACAAGTGAGGAGAGTCTTTCGCAGCATCAGTAGAAACATTAGGATAAATAGTGTACAGGAGGGCGTAAGCAACGGCAATTGCGCAAAAGATTGGAGGTCTCATGTTAGCGGACATTAACGGTAACCTGGCGGATCTGAGAAGCGAAGCGATGGCGTCGCAGAGGTTTTGTCTGCGTTGGAACAACCATCAGAGCAATTTACTCTCTGTATTCGATCAGCTGCTCCATGACGAGGCCTTCGTTGATGTGACACTTGCTGTCGAGGGACAGTTACTTAAAGCACACAAGATGGTGCTATCAGCGTGCAGTCCATACTTTCAGGTAATAAAGAGGAGATTGATTATAATTATTAGTAATGAATTAGGTAAGGTGCAGACTAAGGTTTGTCTAATGCCAACTAATGCCAACTAATGCTTGACTATGACTATTCTACAGGCCCTATTTGTTGGTCATCCAGACAAACATCCAATAGTAATCCTAAAGGACGTGCCCTACGTCGACATGCGCAGCCTCCTTGACTTCATGTACCGTGGCGAAGTGTCAGTCGACCAAGAGCGTCTAACAGCGTTTCTGAGGGTTGCCGAGTCCCTCAGGATAAAAGGCCTGACCGAAGTTAACGAGGACAAATGTGATTTACCAAGTATAACATCCTCACTGCTTGGCAATCAGAACACAGTACCTCCACCGCCACCAAACTTACATAGAATAAACCAAATTGGGCCTCACAATGTATCCCACAAGAGGTTCCATCACATGTCGAGTCATCCATTATTGGGCTCGGCATTGACAGCTCCAAAGAGAAAACGTGGTAGGCCAAGAAAATTGAGTGGCTCATCAGATACACCAATTGGTGAGGGCTCACGTGAGGATTTGCAGACATGCTCATCTGATCTTGTGCAAGGCTCACCGGAAATGATGGAAATGAAAATGGGCATTGATTTTCAAAGTGAAACAAGCACCGGTGCTAATACAAGTGGCAATGGTAATGCCAATAACAGTGGTAGTCATTCGGCTAATTCAACACCAGGACCAATGAGGAGTAAGGAGAGTGAACAGCAGCCTATGGAGAATGGTGAGCGTGATACACCCGAGCCCCCTCTAACACCAAGAATCAAGAGAGAGCCAGAGCCAACGCCAAGTACCTCAGCGCAGGGTAAGTCATCATTATTTATCATTATCATCATCTCTTCTGGTACCTCTAGACATTCGATTGGTGCGAATCCCTATACATAACACAACCACAATCAATGGAAATACATTTTTGGCCAATTATCAGTGACGCCATTATTATAATTTCTTCATTCTCCCATTCACACTTTTCTCTCTTTCTTTTCTGCTCTCTCGGGGCTCACTACTCATTGTTGGACTATTCAAGGGCTAGATGACTTCTAGGTCTTCAATCTGACGAGACGTACGCGATAATCTAGGGCTGTGCTTGATTTCTATCCTCTGGTTTAATCTCTAATCACTCACGAGATGTAGTTATTAACATTGTTTCTCCTTAACAAGGCTAGCTCAAGAAGGGTGTCTTACATTTGACTCTAATTCTTCTCATTTATTTATTTTACTCATCACTCGTCATTCACGGCAATTATGCATGACACGAGTTGAAATGAATCATTATATTTCAGGATTTTGAGATTCACTGAGTAATTTTATTGCCATTGTGAGATGCATGAGTCTATTTTTTTGACATTATTGTGATAATAATTGAGGAGCGAATTCGCCGACATTTGCTCAGGAGATTTGAGTGGACTCTTTGATTATTCTGATCGGGAATAATCGTAGCCAGCCCCTGCATGAAGGGTGAAGTTATTCTAAATGAGAGAGATAAAGAACAATTGAGAAGATTTGAAATTTTGCTCTTAACAAAATTGCTTCTTTGAAAATTTGACATTTTTCACAACGAGGTGTGCTTCATTTTTTAATGACCGCCAGAGTTAAGGTCAAGTCAAAATTTATGGAAACAGCGTCGTCTCGTCGGATAGCGTGTACGTTAGCAAAAGTGAAGCTGAAACTAGGAGAAGAATTCAATTTAGGAGATTCCAGGGGTGTTAGGATCAAACGATTGTTTTTTTTTTTTTTCAAACTAACAAATTTGCACATGAATGAAACGTATTTAGAGACACCCCTAGATTCCCTAGACCAAGAATAATGAGTCTTCCCCTAGTCTCAGCTTCATTCAGGAAAGGAAATAGAGAAAAGCTCCTACCTTAGAGCCGTTAAAAATCTAACCCAAAACCAGAATTCATAACCCCAGTACCAATATTTTTCAACTTGATACAAATCACCCATACAACAAATAAATATTTAACAGTGCGACGTGACGTCAAAGCTCGGCCAATGCGCAGCGTATTAAAAAAAAAACAGTAATAAATTATCAAAAAAAAAATGGGTCCACCGGATTAATCAAACCTAATTAATCAAGAAATCCAATCCTTTTCGTATCTCTTTATCAATTTTTCAAATCAACAATTTATCTAGTATTTTTTTCATTATTTATTCATTCCCTGCACAAACATAACGCTTCGCTGCCATTGGCCACTGGTGAAAGGAGGGGGTGGAGCCAGCTAGCGGTGCTTTTAAATTTGTTATATATTTTTTTTCAACGCTGGTTAAATTATCCGTTCGTTCATAATAATAATATAATGATAAACAAAATAATAGACAAATGTTGAATAATCAAGTGTCAAAATGTGATAGCGAAATAGGAATGAAAAAAAAAAAACTTCGCTGACTGCAAACGGGATTTAACTGCATATTTTTATCATCTATTATTTGAAGAAGAATAATAAAGAGAGGTTTTAAAATTCATTTGATTTTGCTGAAGGCGCTGGAGGCAACGAAGAACGGCGTTTTACCTCTTGTGTTCAGTCGTTTCGTCGTTTCCGCCTTCTCTCTCTCTTGCATTATCGAGTGACTAGACCCAGGGATATAAAATGAGTTGAAAAATAAAACTGAAAAAAAAATGGAAATGACGAGCGTGGAGATGCGAGAGAGAGATAACGAGCGAGAGGCCAAGGGAAAAAAGTTCAAATTAATCAATGAAACATTTGTTTCTCTCTGTTCTTGATTAAAATTCATTCAGAAAAAAAATTCAATGAGTGATAGAAACATGATGAAAATTCGTTGTTGTAGTGAAAAAAAAAGAAAACGTGAGTTTATTTTTGTGCTTTGCCGCAGGTGAGTTGAGAATAATCAACTTTGTTCGATTTAAAAAAAAAACAATTGCGCGGGGAAGCGAAGGATTAGGGAAGGCCAGCCGTTTGCAAAAAAAAAAATTACAACTGAAAAGAAAAAAATGTCAGAACGTAGAACTCAATTAGAAATGAGAAAGGAACAATCGGAGAGAAGGAGGAACCGATAAAACCGTTAACCGAATTGACGAGATCTTGACAAAAGGCGGATGAGGTATGTGTATACGACTCAGAGAAACCCTGATCATTAAAAAAAAAAGGGAGAGAGAGAGAAGAATGGGCTCGCGCGTGATTGTCGATTCGTGTGAAATTTCAGTTTAAAATTCGCTTCCACATGAATGAAAAGTGTACACACACCGCATACGCCTGGGTGTAAACCCCGAATCACAAAGACTTGGAAAAAAAAAATGTATAAAAACGGTCGAGAAGTTTTTTTTACCAACGGTCACTAGTTATTTTGCTGGCTCTACCCTTCCTCTTGCTTCCCCCCACAATATACGAAGTAATTAATTAAGTACAGGGGCAGTTGGGTGAAATGGGCTTGACTATTTGCTGAAATTTCATGAAATTTCATGATGAGTCACATTATTTCACAAGAATATTTCATTCCATGAAATTGCTTGAAATTCCAGTGGAGCTGCTGTAACTATCATGTTACAATATTGCCAACATGGAATTGTCAATTTCGTTGAAAAGTGAAGCATGGAACTTGCCTAGAATTTCAATGAAATTGTGAATTCTCAATCAATGTCGGAATTTTGAAAAATGTTGTGTCCGTTTTGCCCTAGCCTCCCTTGTTCGGTATTTAGTAATATATTGTCAAGAGCTACCCACACGGAAAGAGATAAATGAGAAAATTCCAACAATTAAATGATAAAGTTAAACTTTCCCTGGGGGTAAAATTATTGAAAAAAAATGGAAATAACGAGCCCTCAGTAGTGACGAATAGGTAATTTATCCTTTTTCCAGACGCCGAGGAGTCATCATCAACGAGTGGTGACAATTCACCCGCTCACATACGCATTAACTTTGAGCGTTGCTTTCGCAATGAATACAGTGCAACAAATCTACAAACAGGTAACACCAAAGGAACAACATCACAGGATGATAACAATTCTGACAATGAGTCTGAACAAAAACCAACAAAGGAACAACTGAGCAGTGCCATATATAATCTCGTTGCTGGTGAATCTGAGATAAGTCAGAGTGATTTTGAGGGTACATTTAAAGTTGAGAATGAAAGAACTGAGGGCTCTGTACGTGATTTTTGCGTTAAAGAGGGCGATGTTTACAGATGTACAGTATGCCATCGTACATACACACATATTAGTAATTTTTGCCGTCATTATGTTACATCACACAAGCCAAACGTCAAGTACTATCCTTGTCCAGTTTGTTTCAAGGAATTTACACGCAAGGATAATATGGTGGCGCATGTCAAAATTATTCACAGTTTGAAGCCACACATGAGTCTTGGTAGTACGAGTATGGGACAACAGCGGTAGGCAATGGGTTACCTGTACAATCTTTTCGTCGGCTTTTCTTTTCTCACAGTCGATGTAGAGTAGGTAGTTAGGTAGTTTTTCCAACACCTCGAGTCGATGGAGGGAGGGGGAAGGGCTGGTTATCTTTCGCGTTTTTTTTTCTTTTTTTGTTTAATGATTTTTTTTTGTTTCTTCGGAGGAGAAATGCCGCGTTTGCAACATTTTTATGGGTTTTAGATGTTGATGGCCGGAATTTACTGATGACACTTCATCCTGATTTATCGATACTGAGTGGTTATTTAATTGGGAGCCGTTGGGTTTTCTCTCCGTCTCTATCTCTCACGAAGATTTTTTCATTCTGCTGTGACAGAAAATTTATTTTTTTATTGAAATTTGGAATGAATGATCAATTTTTTTAGTGGACTTTCATAAAATTCATGAAAATTCGTTTTAGTTTATCTCAGTAAAATTATTATTTTTTTTTCTGTCACCATAATCAATCTCGCGGATAATAACTCGGATAATTCAACGGGCATTAATAAACAAAAAGAGTTGAGTGAAGGAGTTTAAATGTTAAATGAACGAGCTTTACCGCCCTAGTCTTTCGGCATACCCGAGAGTTGCGGAATCTATACAAAAAAAAAAAACAAATTAAAAGTGTTATTACTTGATGAAAAAAAGAAAGAAAAATTTATATACAAGAGACAACTGATGAGAACCGTTGAACCTAGTTCTACGGTACGTGTCAATTGGTTGTTGATAACATTTTAGAGAATTTTAATATAAAGGAAAGAAATTAACGTAGAGTTTAATGAGCGAATCCCAAATGCCAGATTTTATTTACAAAATATTGATGAAAGAGATGAAATCGATAATCAAATATTGCACATACGTGAGAAGTAATTGATGTTCATTCACCGTAATAAAGGAAAAAAATTGAGGCATTAATTATTGAAGAGTAATGGGGTAACCACGTAGACTGAGCAAATGCAATATATGTACGACCGTTCGCCATGTTGTTGAGCCTGATTGTCGAGGGTATCACTGTTATTATATCGTAGAGAATTTAGTTGAGATGTTCTACCAATTTTAAATATCAATGTCATCATTTCTGATGATTAAGTTTGATTGAGAGGCCTCAGGAGGAAGATGAGCTAGAATGAACCAGAGAAAATCGTTAAAATCCGGTCCCATTTAGAAGCCTGACAAAATAGATGGAAAATGAAAATACAAATTTTTTCGATTTCACTCAGCCAGTTCCGAGAAATTGAAGTCGCGATAAAAAAAAAACCTCAAAAATGAAATAATGCAAAATTGTGTTCACTGAATCGCCAATATCTCCGGGTTTGCCGATGCGATTTCCTCGACCCAACAGTCACTATAAATCTCTCAACAAAAAAAAATCGTTCAATTCGACTCTGCCAATTTCAAGTAATTCTGGTTTGATAATGATTAATTTTCACCCTCAACTC